ACATATAAAATCCTGACTAGGCAGGCTAGGTGTGGGAAGAATGTTACTGATGTGGAGGAAGTGCAGAACTAGGGGTCACAGTCTCAGAATATGGGTTAAGCCATTCAGGGCTGAGATGAGGAACAATTTCTTCACTCAGAGAGTTGTGGAATTCTCTCCCACAAAAAGCTATCAGGGTCAGTTCATTAGATATATTCAAGAGGCAGCTGAACGTGGTCCTTGCAGCTAAAGGGATCAAGGGCTATGGAGAGAGGGCAGGAGTGGGATACTGAAATTGCATGATCAGCCATGATCATACTTAATGGTGGCGCAGGCTCGAAGGGCTGAATGGTCTACTCCTGCACCTATTTTCTATGTTTCTGTGTAACATTGTGGAGGTAAGTAATTGGCAGAATAGGGTATTCTGCAAACATATATATCTCAGCTATTCTTGGGTTTACTAATTACTTTAACATTATAGGTGGGTTAATAAATGGAGAGAATTGTGAAAAATGGATTAACTGTGAGTTAACTTTGGATGTAAACAAAAAGAACAGGGTACTTTCTAAATGATAAAAAGCTTAAAAAAGGATTGATGATAAGAATTTTATAACTGTGATGTTGGTGGACGTGGGATATATGTGGCTCAGTGGCCAAAGTGGTAATGGCTGAATTAGACTCGGTAGAGATTAGGATCGGGGCAGAAGAATTTTGGAAGATTATGGAAGAAGACAGCGTGAGCATGGGTGCATTGCAATAAAAATGGAAATTGCTGGAGAAACTCAGAAGATCTGGCAGCATCTGTGGAAAGAAAGCAAAATTAATGTTTCAGGTCCAATGACCCTTCTTCATATTGGAATAGTTGAGTACGAGATTACAAATGCACAAATCAAGACTTGAACTACAGGTGAGTTGTATATGGGAATAGGAGTAGACCATGTAAGCACAGTGCTTCCCAAACCATTTCCCAAGAGACCCTATTTAGCTTGAGGTTTGCTGAGACCCTGGACATGTGAGAGTAGGGGGAGATGTGAGGAGAAGATGCCTGGGAGAATTGGGTGGGGTTTTGCTCGGAAGGGGAGAGCTGGCGGAAATGGATACCTAGTGTAAAAGGAAATAGAAGCCTGAGATGCCTGGGGTGGGGGTTGTTTGGAAGGGTGGTGGAGATGGAAATAAGGAAAGGTGATGGGGGGAGGGAAGAGATGTGTGAGAATGGGACGAAGGAAAGCTCCTTACTCCACAGTGTTTTTAAATAAGCTCCCCATTAGGTTATTTTAGGATTAAATTCTGGTTACATCCACTACCAGACGTTCTGACTATTCCCCAGAATACGGTAATATCGTGTCAAACAGGCTTTGAGTGCAGATAACCAACTACAATTTAATTGCAATTTAGGCCTTGTTAACTATTCCAGTCTTATGACTCAATTTTTAAATGTTTGCCAGGTGTTTCTGGTCAATTATGCAATCGTTTTTGGTGGAATTGGACTGAAATCAGCAAATCTGGTACAGGAGATCATGGAACTTTACGTATTATGTTTTATTCAGTGCAACCTGACTTTACAGTAATCTTTTATGTTACTTTTAGAAACATTATGTAAGAAACAAGACCTGCAAAACTTACAAAACCAAGAATATCCTTATGGTGAAATAATAATGAGTTTCCATTGATTGTGTTCATTTGCATGATTCAAGGATGCTCCAAAAAAAAGTTATGTTTTTGGGTGCAAGGCCACTAACAGGTACAGTTGAAAGTATTCGATGACATCTTAAAAATTGAATAAGGAGCTGCTTACTATCTTTCAGCTTAATTTGAGGCACAATTTGCCTTAGAATAGCCAATTATTCCCAAAGTGGATTATCCATACCACTAAGTATGGAAATGCACTAGGTTTTGTGGTTCACATTGTGTTGATTTCAATGCTGTGCTTGGAAATATCAGAACTTCTTTGTCCCTGTGGAATTTTTACGTGTGAGCAAGTGTAAAATATTGAATATCTTAGACATGTAGCAATCACTCCCACTCCCACAAGAGTAGGCGGACTGCTTGGCCAATTGCAGATGACACCATTTGTGAACTTCAAAACAGTAATATTTGGAGACTAAATTAACAGCAGTGACTAAGGAAGGTCAATTAATTAGTTCTGTTCTGTAGTTCCGTTGTTGTGGCCCAAGACCAACATAACTGTCCCGTGGTCCCAGTGGCTGACAATCGGAAACTCTCCCACCATGGATCTTTGCAGCTGGAGTGTGTTACACATACCAGACCTTCCATTCAGAATAAACACTGAACTTCACTGCCAAGAACACCATCTTACATCAGTCTGTATGTTGACACTTTGTCTACTTCGTCATTTAAAAACTTCATCTTCCTTATATTCCAACAGCAGCTTCTAACCATTACAATGAAGGTAATTTGCCATGGCCCTACCATATCATAGGTCTACTCTCTCATTAGAGAGAGTGTGAGAAAGAGAAAGTGTGAAAGAATGAGAGGGAGACAGGAAGATATAGAGAGAAAGAGTGTGAGAGAGACAGAGAGAGTGAGAGAAAAAAAGCCAGAAGCAAATTCATTCAGGGAAAGAGGCCCATAACTGTAGAAGCGTTATGAACAGACTCTAAGCAGTCAGGTCAGGGGAGAAATCCTCAGGTGTTTATATGTTGCAGGTGTTTATATGTTGCTTGGAAGCTAGCTCCAAAAGCAGAAGGCCATTGGGTTATGAGATGGATATGTTACGATGTACCAAAGACATGAGTTTAGGGAGCCCAAGTTAAGCAATAGTGAGCTAAGTTAGCAGCCTGTTTTAAGGGTCTCAGAGTTATTAACTGATGTAAATAGCATCTAGTGAATGAAAATTACTTAAAGGAAACCAATTATAACTGTGCCAGCTGAGCAAGAAGCTTTAGAATAGAAATAGAGCTGACTCTTCACTGAGGTTTGAGTGTCTGTAAGTGGATTTCTGAGAAAAAAACTGGATGAATTTTTCTTTCTGCTTGTGACACAATCATTGCAATTGTGTTTGTCTAGTGAAATATCACTCATGTCTCTCTTCGATGACAGAAACTTTGACATCCATTTCTTTGAAGGACATTGGTAGCCTCTTAAGAATATGCTTGGAAGCTTAATGCCACAGTAATCAAAGTGAAAAATAAAAGTGGTCTATTCAGCCAGGTTTCACACTGCAAACTGATCAGTCCAACTTTTACCATCAGTTCAGCTCATAAAATTGGCTTGGCCTTGGATAGTGTGATGTGGTCAAATCTAGAAGATTGTCAAGGCTTTATAGAAGGTGCTGTGGACAGATATATGGGGTGACGAACTTTGAGAAACTGGGGTTGTCCTCCTTTCAGCAGTGAAAATTAAGGGAGGTTTGATAAGTGATTTGATTTGATTTATTGTAGACACATGTACCCAAGTACAATTTTTGTGAGCAGTACAGGCAGATTATAGCAAACAAGGACATACAGATCATTGGGTGCTTAGACAGAGAAAAATACAGAACAGTTATAAGAAATGTTAGAATAAGATCTGCTGTAGGGAGCTCGCAAAGAGACCACCAGTGTCGGCGCCAGTTTGAATCATACTGTTCACAGTAAGGACATTTTTTAATAGAGTAAAACAAGAGAAACTATTTGCGGGACATAGAATTAAATTAACAAAAGAGCCATGGGTGACATAATGAAATAAATTTTTACACTAGGGGTTTCACAATGCACAATCTTCAAACTGTAAGTGGATAAACAATCTGCAGAGAAACTTCTGTAGGCAACAGGGAAAGAATGGCAGGGTGGATTAATAGGATGGCTCCACCAAAGGACATTGGGCAAAATGGCCTCATTCCGTGCTCTATTGTTCTATGATCTTAGTATTGTTAAGGGTATTGACCTTTGTGGAGGTGCCAAACTGAGTTTCCATCCTACTGACTGAAAAGAAAAACGTCTTACCTCAAACTGAGTAACTATTAGCCAATACTGCCAATCTGTATTTGGACACTTAGAGACCCAGTCTTCTTACACTCTGAAAAAATATGAAAACTTATGTACATTCAACATTGCTTTTTATTAAAGAAAAGTTTGTTATTGTACAAAAAGTGTATATACATTTAGATCACTAGATCTATTTTGTGTGCTGAGAGGAATTGGTTACAGGAAACGTCCAGGCTACAAGTTGATCAAAAATAGTCAGCTTGGTGCTCTTATTCAAAACACAGTTTTAAACATGTTGTATATTTACAGGCTGGAATGGTTGTACAATGTTTAAAATTTCTTTACATGAGATGCTTTATGCACTAAGAATGCACAACAAAGAACACATTTTAGCTCATATATATTGAAAAGATGTTTTGCATATCTTTCACAATAATTCTCACACATATAGAAACTATTTTCATTAAACACTGCATGTTAACTAGCACAGTACCAATAGCATTGCCATATTACAAGCATATTGCTGGAAACTGCTTCCAAAATATCTCAAACTGAGGAGACTGAGGGGTGATCCGATACATAATTATGAGGGACATATATAGGGTGGATAGTCAGAGGCTTTTTCCCAGGGTAGAAAGGTAAGCTACAAGAGGGCACAGGTTCAATGTGAGAGGGGGAAAGTTGAGGGGAGAAGTGCAGGGAATGTTTTTTACACAGAGGGTGGTGGGTGCACTGCTAGTAGAGGTGCTGGAAACAGGCACGTTAGCAATGTTTAAGATGTATCTTGATCGACATATGAACGGGAGGCAAACAGAGGGACAGAATCACATATGGGCAAAAGTGATGGGTCTAAATAAGGGAGGCGCAGTGGCTCAATGCTTAGGCACTGCTGTCTCACAGCTCCAGGGATCTAGGTTCAATGCTGCCTGTGTGGAGATTGCACAGTTTCCCTGTGTTTGCGTGTGTTTCCTCTGGGTGCTACGGTTTCCTCCCATAGTCAAAAATATGCCGGTTAGGTGGATTGGCCATGGAAATTGACCATGGTATCCAGCGATGTGCTGGCTAGGTGGATTAGCCATGGGAAATGCAGGGTTATGGGATAGGATCAGGGGGTGGGTCCAGGTGGAATGCTGTTCAGAGGGCTGGTATGGACTTGATGGGCCAAATGGCCTGCTCCTGTGCTGTATTGTATATTGAGGACGCCTTCACTATTTGAAAATAACAAGACATAGTAAGGCACTTCTTGATGCTATAATATGGGCTTTCCTAGCTTGGTACCATATATTTTAAAGAGAAGCCTTATCATTTACAATGTCCGCAAACTATACAGTCTGTGTTGTCATGAGGTTTTATAATGATAGATGTGGAATAATTAAGAGCTAAACTCAGAAAAGAAAACAATATACAGTATGGCTTTGATGGTGTTTGTCAATGTACCTTTTGTTCTTTCAGCTCAGCCAAACTAAAACACTTTCCCGTGACAATGAATCAACTGATATACACTGGGGAGTTCACATTAATGAAATACAAGAAAGCACATATCTACTATTTATAAGGAAGAAATGGGCAATGTTTGGCTTGTGCCCTTGCCTGTTTGGTCTAGTATACAGTATCAGTGCTTTGTAACAAAAAAGAAACAGGATTCCCATTTCAAATAACACGCCTCTTGATGTAACATGTCAATCCACCAGCTATTTCTTCAAAACACATCAAGAAATCCCTATTCACAAATATATAAGCCTTTGCAAAATGTCCTGATTCTCTTTCTTCAGAATAAAGGTTTCTTTTTATACATTAAAATACAAAGTCTATATAAAAAAATTGCTCTTTAGGAATGTTAATATTTTGAGACAATCTGATTTTAAGCATCATATTTTGAAGTTACTGGAATCTGAAATTGGAATTGTTCTTTACTGTTCTTGAGGGTTTAAGACATCATATTAAGAAATTTATTTTCCTCAGCCAAGGTAGTTAACATGGAGCTCATGTCTCCTATTGCCATATTAGTCAACCCGGCTGGAATGGGCTGCAGAGTCAGAGAATTCCGAGGAGTTGTGAGACGTGAGGAATTTTGAGAGAGGTTCTGCAGAAGGCTGGGGCTCAATGTGCCTGACATCAAGCTAGAATGGTCACCATCATCCATGATAGCATCAAAATCTATTTGTGCATGGTCTAGACTGTGGGAGTTTACTGTACTTGATACCTGGTTGGTGCCTGGTGAGGCCATTGCTGCAGCTTTGACACCTTGCATACGCTGTTGTTGCTGAATAGCACAGTCCATTTGGCCACTGAAGTTGCCATTTTGTTCATACATGTGGATCTGACCAGAATAAAACATCAAGTTGCTGTTTGAACCATCGTTATTACACTGTTGCGATTGCATCGAGAGTTGATTACCAGGCTGATTGTGGCTTACTTCGGATTGACCGTGCCCAGGGCTCATGCCGTTCATCTGGAGTGGGCTTTGCAGATAACTTTGCTGTTGCATGTTTAAAGAATTCATTAAACCATGTTGTCTTGCTAATGGATTCGAACCCTGGGGTGGATGGGGCTGCATCATTCCACGACTTAAGTCATGCTCAGCAGAACTCATGATATTTGACCCTGCTTGGCTGAAGTTCTGCTGGTTTGGGCTGACTTGGGAATTAGTTTGACTTAAAACTCCATGGGCAGGGAAGGAGCTGTGGCCTGGATTTCTGCCAGATTGGACATGAGGCCCAAAGTTCTGTTGGCTTGCAACATGCATGCCTTGCGCTGGTGCGTCTCTGGAACGGCACCCGTTCATCATCATTGGCACCTCGTTTGTGCCAGCCATTTGCTGATGAATCTGCGCCCGGACTTGCTGAGCTTGAGCGTAGCTTTTGATTGCTGCATCTTTGCTCTGCATCATTGCCATCTGCTTAAAGTCTTGAGTACCTGCTGGCACAGGTGAGCCCATCATGTTGCTTGCTGGCATATTACTGCAAGCTGTTTGGCTGAGAGTCCTGCTGGCAATATTGGGGCTAAGCATTTGGCTGGACTGATTAAAAGTCTGGTGCGAGCTGAGAGGTTGGTTAGCGTTCTGGCACAAGCTCATTGCCTGTGGTTGCTGCTGTTGTTGTTGCATATAATTCATCCTTTGCCCGTTCACACCGATACCTCTTTGCATTACACCCTGCTGCGCGAGAGCCATCTCATTCTGATTCATTGGCACAGTGGGCTGAGCGGAGTTGAGGTTCTGGTACTGGTCAAACATTTGCTTCTGCTGAACTACTGCCAGGTTTGACCGAGAGAACTGCTGCTTCGACTGATCAGGAATGACATCGACTGTACCTGAGCTTACTTCATTCCACTGAACTGGCATGCTGTTCTTGTTCATGTTGGGCGATCCCTGGTATGGTTGACTCCCTGGACTGATCTGGCACTGTGTCATCATAGAACTTGGCTGATTCATGTTACCATCGACCATTGCCATTCCACGGTGGCCGTACGGGTTTTGATTCTGCACACTCAAGTTTTCTTGGAAACCCTGCATTTGCCCAGTGAAATTCAATGGATTGTTATCCTGGGCCAATCGATTTTCCTGAGAGTTGATATACTGCACCACGTCATCGGGCAGCATTATATCATCCTCCACGGCTTGGACGTCAATCTCGCCGGCCACAGTCTCCATGACAACATTCTCGCTGATGCTGGGTGGCCTAGGCGAGTAGGCACACCTGTGGAGGCTTCCATCCGACCGAGTGGGGTTTTGGAGGCCGTAGTGATGCCTGTCCATTGCTGGCGGCAACGGCAGTGGGTTCATGTTGTTCATGCTGTTGAAGCGCTGGACCCTGGGAAGAGACAGGGGATCCACAGCTGTCCTTCTGACCGGATCACTCGCCCGCCTGGTGGTATTGCCAATGAGTTCATGAGGGCGGAGAGCTGCTGTGCCATAGCCTCGTGGAACGCCGTCGCTGCATCGCCTCTGAGAGGCAGGAGGAGGGAACGGAGCATACACAGAATTGGGGCCGTCCCCCAGGAGCGACATTCTCGCCTTCTGGCTTAAGCGCTCCATGTTCGGCAGAGGCGTTGGAGGTGGGCCCCCAGTCGCGGCAGCGTACTTAGCCTTCAGCCTGTACTGCTCAGCCGGCGTCAGATTGAGCAGGCCACCACAGTAGCTGACCTCGCTGGACCTCCGTGACAGATCCGTGGAAATGGGGTCATAGGAGTCGGCCGAGCTGATGTTATTTGGACGGCCACCAATGTGGGAAGCCTCGCTGGAGCGGCGGCTGGACAAGTAAGGGGAAATGCCAGATGACCTTCGACTGACAGTGTAGGCCGAACTGATGGTGCTCGTGGCACTGTCACGGCGCTCATTCAGTTGATTCAAAACAGTGATCTCACTGTTGGACAGTTCCGTTATTCTAGGGTTAGGCAACACGGCAGTGGAACCACCAGTAGTTGAATTCTCCAGTGAAACTCCTAAAAAACATTAAAAAAAAGCACATTAATCTCTGCTTGATTAAGGTGAAACTACACGAGAGAAAAGAGAATTCAATACAATCCAAATGTCATGGAAGCAGGCCATTCAGTCTATTGAGTCCACACCGAACAGCATCCCACCCAGACCTCCCATCCCCCAACCATATCCTTGTAATCCTGCATTCCCCATGGCTAATCCACCTAACCTACATTTCCCTGGACACTATGAGCAATTTAGCATGACCAATCCACCTAACCTGCACATCTCTGGGCTATGGGAGGAAACCCATGCAGACCCAGGGAAAATGTGTAAACTCCATACAGTCACCTGAGGGTGGAATCGAACCTGGGTCCCTGGCACTGTGAGTCAGTAGTGCTAACCACTGAGCCACCATGAATGTAGATGATGTAGGGTAGGAAGAGGTTTGTGTGTCTCATAAGCACTGACACAAAGCAGTTGGGTCAAATGGAGTATTCTTTGAGCTGTAAATTCCATGTATACTTAATGATTGTTACCATTTATACATCTTGAACCATCTAGACAGGACTGAAAAACAGCAACTTACCATTCATGGGAATGAGAGGCAGCTTGGTGTTCTTAACTGGTGGCACCGGGTTTGCCCATGAAGGAATGTCTCTAACCTGCTTCAATTTTTCTTTCTTTAGTTGCTCAAGTCTTTGGGGTGCTGTCATGTTCTTTCTCAAATGAAGGCTGATTGCTGAAGTTCCAGATGAAACAGTGGAGTCCACAATTGGGGAATCATCTAAGGCAGTCAAATCTCCCAGGCTACCTCCACTGTTGATGTTCATTTCTACTCCACTGTCATTGTTGTTGGTGCTGCCAAGTGGCGATGGTTCACTGCTGCATGAAGATTGGCCACCAGGGCTGGACTGATACATCTGTGGTGAAACAGAATAGATTTTTTCAGAGGTTCAACAACAACAAGAACCATTTGCATTATAACCTTAATATTCACACATGTGTAAGAAACAAATATTTTAATTTTTTTTTCCCTTTCTGCTTCTGAGGTGATTCTAAGTAATGACTTACCCTCAATTAACTTTCCTACGGAGCATTTTACATTTGGTGAATTTTCACAGTGACTACTATCTTTGCTTCTCAAATTGTGAAGGACATTGCATCTATAAAACAGATCCTGTCTTCGCATGCGGTTCAAGTCACTGTACCGTGACGAACAGCAAGTACCTTGGTTGCTTTTCCTCTTTGCCAATCAAAGAGAACTCCCGTTCTTATTTGAAGATTTAAAAGTTGCCCTCAGCTAACTTGATACACATTGAGAACTGAAGGAGGCACCCTGCTGGACCACACAGCTCAGAGACATAGCCTGTTGAGCCATCAGTATAGTATATGCTTTTTAAGAGACCAGCTCCGTAATCTCAAGCCCATGAAAGCTCTTAGATCAGAGCTTGTGGTCCACATTGGCAGCAATGACACAGATGGAAATAGGAATGAAGTCCTGAAAGTTACATTGAAGGAGCTTGGCAAGAGACTGAACGCCATTAATTCTAAGACAGGAATTTGAGGATTGTTCCCAGTGTTATAGAAAAAGGAAGATTGAGTGGATGAACACGTGGCTGGAGAAAAGGTGCAAGAGGGAGATTTTTTGATTTCTGGGACTGGTTCTGGGGCACGTGGGCCTGTACAAGGAGAATGGGTTACATCTTAGCAGGACTGGGACTAATATCCTCGATGGGTATCTTGCTGGTGCTGTTAGAGAAGGTCCAGAGTAGCTCAGGCAGATGGTAGCCTAACAGGACATTCAGGCAGAACGAAAAGAAAGCAGATTATGGAAAATAGAAAATATAAAGCAGCAGAAATGAATTCTAGAATCAACCAGAATAGTGTTTAAAAAGACAGATTAAAATGTCTTTGATGCATGCAGCATTCACAATCAGATAGGTGAATTGATGGCATTTGTAGAAGTAAAAACATATGATTTAATTAGCATTATGAAAACAGGGCTACAGGGTGTCCAAACTGGGGGCTGAATACTAAACAATATTTGACATTTAGGAGGAATCGGAAGAAAGGAAACGGAGATGGGGTTGCGCTGATAATAAGGAATGAAGGAAGTCTCATTGGAAGAACAGAATGCAGAACTAGTTTGGGTGGAGCAATGAAGCAGTAAGGGGCAGCAAAGATTGGCAGGAGAGATTTATAGACTACAAAACAGCAGTGGTAAAGTTGGCCACAGTATAATTCAGGAAATTGGAGTATTGCATTCAATCCTGGTCACCACATTACAGGACAGTTGTGGAGGCTTTGCAGATAGTGTAGACACATTTACCAGGATACTGCTTGGATTAGATGGTATGAACAAAAAGGAAAGGCTAGAAAAACTTGGGATGTTTTCTCTGGACCAACAGAGGCTGAGGGGAGATTTGGTAGAAGTCTATAAAATTATGAGACACATAGATAGGGTTGACAGTCAGAATCTTTTTCCCACAGTTATAGTGTTTGACACTAGGAGCCATGGTTAAGGTGAAAGGGGCAAAGTTCAAAGGAGATGTGAGGGGCAAGTTTTTTTACACAGAGAGTAGGAGGAATCTGGAACGCACTGCCAGGGGTGATGGTGGAGGCAAATATGATAGGGACTTATAAGGGAGTTTCAGATAAGCACATGAATATGCAAGGAACGGAGGGATTTTGATCAAGGGCAGGGAAAAGGGATTAGTTTAATTTGGCATCATGTTTGGCACTACATCGTGGACCGAAGGGCCCGTTCCTGTGCTGTGCAGTTCTATGTTCTAGAGTTGCACTTAGCAAGGAGAGTGCAATAATTATGGGTGTCTTCAATCTACATCCAGGCTGGGTAAATCTAATGAGCACGATGCTGTGGAGGAAGAATTCCTGGAATGTATTCAAGATAACATTCGAAAACAACTGTATCAGGAGATAGCTTAGAAACCCACTTCGGCACAGGCTGTTTTAGGTGTTATATGCAGTGAGAAAGGGCTATGAATAATCGCATTCTAAAAGAGCTTTTACAGAAAAGTGACATTGTACAACAGAATTTTCCAAAACCTTTGAAAAAGATGTAGTTCAATCTGAAGCAAGGGGCTCAAATCTAAACAAGGACAATTATAAAGATATGAGGAGGAAGTTGGCTGCGGTGGATTGGAAAATGTATCATAAGGTTTGATGTTAGATAGGGAATAGTTAGCATTTAAAGACTTAATGCTTGGTTTTCAAAAAAACCTACATTCCTCCAATGCAAAAATACCAAACAGGAAAAGTGAGAGAGCCATAGCTAACAAAGAAAATCAAAGGTAATATTAGATCAAAGGAGGAGGTTGGTAAAGTTGCCAAAATAAATTGTGAGCTCGAAGACTGAGAGAACCTTAGAAATTAGCAAAGAATGGATGAAAAATTGATAAAGGAACAGGGATTAGAAAATGAATGTAAATTGGCAAGGAACAAAACAGGAAATGGGTAGCAAAGACAAATCTGGGTCTAATACACAGAAATTTATAATACAACATAAAGAAATGTCAGAGAAGCTAAATAAGTACTTTGAGTCAGCTTTCACAGAGGAAGGCTTAAGATGTCTCCCTGTAATAATTAAGAGCCAGCTACTGACAGTGTGCAACGGAAGCAAATTAATATTAGTAAATTAGTGTTGGAGAAATGAATGGGACTGAACATTGACAAATGCTTGCCACTCAATGACCTTCACTTTAGAGAATTAGAACGGATGGCTATAGAGATAGTGGATGATTTGGGATCAGCTTTCAAAATTCTGTTCATTCTGCAATGATACCTTATAGATGTGATGGTTGCAAATGTAACCCCATTGTTTAAGGAAGGACAGAGAAAGCATTGAAAAACAAACTTATTAGCCTGATGTTAATAGCAAGGAAATACTATAATCTACTATAAAGGATATATTTATTCAATATTTCAGAAACAATTGTATGGTTGGATTTATGATGGGGAAATTGGGTTTGACAAACCTGGAAGAGTTTTTGAGGATATTACAAGCAGAGTCAATAAGGAGGTGGATGTGGTGTATTTGGATTTACAGAAGGTGGCTGGTTCACTAATGTCCTTTAGGGAAGGAAACTGCCATCCTACCCTGGTCTGCACTACATGTGGGTCCAGACCCACAGCAATGTAGATAGACCAACACGAGGAGAGGCCACTTTGGATTTGGTGCTTGGCAATGAACTGGGCCAACTGTTAGACCTGTTGGTAGGAGAGCATTTTGGTGGTAGCGACCATAACTTTGTTACTTTTACAATAGTCATGGAAAAGGATAGGTACATACAGCAGGATAAGGTTTATAATTGGGGGAAGGGTAATTACAATTCTGTTAGGCAAGAACAGGTAACATAAATTGGGAACAGATGCTGTCAGAAAAGAGCACTATTGAAATGTGGAGATTGTTTAAGGAATGCATACTGCATGTGCTCTGTCCCTAGCAGGCAGGGAAGATGTGGTCGAGTGAGGGAGCCTTGGTTCTTAAGAGAGGTCAAACGTCTGGTTAAGAGGAAGAAGGGTGCTTATGTAAGTTTAGGAAACAAGGAACCGAAAAGGCTCTAGAGGGATATAAGTTATCCAGGAATGAGATGAAGAAAGGGCTTAGGAGAGCTCTAAGGGGGCATGAGAAAACCTTGGCAGATAGGATCGAGGAAAACTCCAAGCCTTTTTACACGTACGTGAGGAATAAGAGAATGACCAGAGAAAGGGTAGGGTCGATCAAGGATCGGAAAGGGAATTTGTGCATGGAGCCTAAAGAGATGGGAGAGGTCCTTAATGAATACTTTTCTTTGGTATTCACAACTCAGAGGGACCTAGTTGTAGAGGAGGACAGTGTGAAACAGGCTGGTAGGCTAGAGGAGGTCGATGTTAGTCAGGAAGATGTGCTAGGAATTTTGAGGAAGTTGAAGATAGGTAAGTCCCCCGGGCCTGATGAGATTTATCCAAGGATTCTATGGGAAGCGAGGGAAGAGGTCACAGGGCCTTTGGCGATGATCTTTTCGTCCTCACTGTCCACAGGTATAGTGCCGGAACATTGGAGAGAGGCAAACATCATTCCCTTGTTCAAAAAACGGAATAGGGATAACCCCCGGAAATTACAGGCCAGTTAATCTTACATCAGTGGTTGGGAAATTATTGGAAAGGGCTCAGAGATAGGATTTAAGATCACTTGGAAAGGCACAGTTGGATTTGTGATAGTCAGCATGGATTTGAGGGGTAGATCATGCCTCACAAACCTTATTGAATTCTTTGAAGAGGTGACCAAACACGTGGATGAAGGTAGAGCAGTGGATGTGGTATACATGGGTTTAAGTAAGGCGTTTGATAAGGTTCCCCATGATAGGCTCATGCAGAAGGTAAGGAGGCATGGGATAGGGGGAAATGTGGCAAATTGGATTTAAAATTGGCTGACCCTTAGAAGACAAAGGGTGGTAGTGGACGGAAAATATTCAACATGGTGCTCAGTTACGAGTGGTGTACCACAAGGATCTGTCCTGGGTCCTCTTCTATTTGTGATTTTTGTAAATGATTTGGATGAAGGAGTGGAAGGGTGGATTAGCAAGTTCGCGGACGATATGAAGGTGGGTCGCGTAGTGGACAGTGCGGAGGGCTGTTCTAGGTTACAAAGGGACATTGATAGGATGCATAGCTGAGCTGAGAAGTGGCAGATGGAGTTTAACCCTGAAAAGTGTGAGGTGATTCATTTTGGAAGGACAAACTTGAAAGCAGAATACAGGGTTAACGGAAAGATTCTTAGCAGTGTGGAGGAGCAGAGGGATCTTGGGGTTCATGTTCACAGTTCCCTGAAAGGTGCCACCCAGGTAGATAGAGTTGTTAAGAAGGCGTATGGTGTGTTAGCTTTCATTAATAGAGGGATTGAGTTCAAGAGCCGTGAAGTTATGCTCCAGCTATACAAAAGCCTGGTTCGGCCACATCTGGAGTATTATGTCCAGTTCTGGTCGTCTCATTACAGGAAAGATGTGGAGGCATTGGAAAAGGTGCAGAGAAGATTTACCAGGATGTTGCCTGGAATGGAGGGAAGGTCTTACGAGGAAAGGTTGAGAGAGCTAGGGTTTTTCTCTTTAGAATGACGAAGGATGAGAGGTGACTTGATAGAGGTGTACAAAATGATCAGAGGTATAGATAGAGTAGACAGCCAGAGACTTTTCCTAGGGTGGAGGTAGCTATTACGAGGGGGCATAGTTTTAAAGTGAGTGGAGGTAGATATAGGGGAGACGTCAGAGGTAGGTTCTTTACTCAGAGAGTGGTAGGGGTGTGGAATGCATTGTCGGAGAGGGTAGTGGAGTTGGCCTCATTAGGGGCATTTAAGCGGCAATTAGATAGGCATATGGATGATAGTATAAGGTAGGGGTGGAGGTTAGATAGACCTTAGGATTAGGGTAAAAGTTCGGCACAACATCATGGGCTGAAGGGCCTGTACTGTGCTGTACTGTTCTATGTTCTAATGTGAATGAATATTAACTGCCATCTGGCGTGAATGAATAAAGAAAAAATCATGAGTTTGATGTCCCTGAAATTGGCCTTTGCTATGAAAACGTAAGCATTAGGGTTGGGGTCAATGAGCATCAATTGGTGTTTAAAGGCTTTGTGTCTACCAGATCTGGAATGCATTTAGTGACATTTATATGTAATGATTAATTTACATCAAACAAATGACTGAATTTCAGCAATGACAATTTGATGAAAATTTCTGAGGCTTTACTCCTTTGTGAGGTATCTACAAGGTATTTGCAGTATTGAAACAGGCCATTCAGCCTATCAGTGTTTTATGTCCCACACGAGCCTTCTGCTACCCTGTTCATTGGCCTCAACATATCCTTCCTCAATTCCTTTCTCCCAATCTTTTTAAATTCATTCACAGGATATTGTGTCTTTGGAATTCCCTTCCTCAAAAGGCAGAGGATGCAGAATCTTTCAATATTTTAAAAGTACAGGTAGATAGATTGCCAAAGGGATGAAAGAATATCAGGAATATAGAGGAATGTCATATTGAGGTTAAAATCAGGTCAGCCATGATCTTATTGAATGGTGGAGCTGGCTTGGAGGGCTAAGTGGCCTGTTCTTTATATGTCATCCACTTTAACCTTGTGGTGGGTAAAGACTTTTCTCTTAATTATTGCAGTCTCTCAAAGAAAGGCACGATGGACTAAATGTCTTCCTTCTATGCTGTGTGTCTCCATGCATCTTCCTCTTATTAAAAATAGATTTCCTGTTGATAGTTATTTAAAACAGACATAAACTGTATTACACTTATGTTGCTGAATGGGAGAAGTTACAACCCTAGTCTGCAAATCTCGACTTGACGGCTATGAATAGGCCTTTTTATCCACAAGTCAACTCATTTATAAATAGGCACTGCACAATCTTGTACCATTGGTGTTTATATAATGTGCTCCAAACAGTGGGAATGGGTTCTATATTTAGTTATGATTGATAAGGAGAATTTTATAAGTGGGGTAAAGCATAATTTCATGTTTCCAAACTCTATTACTATAGATTGTTCAGATCATGTGACCCATAAATATACTTTAATTCTAACTGCTCCCCATTTTGTTTCCTCCCAAAGCAATATATCAAATTATACTTATTTCTTACGGTTCTTTAAATAAATCTAAAAGTGCTCTATCTCACAGAAGTATTTAAACCTGTTTTAAATCTTTTTTCTTTACTAATACTCTTCAGCTATCACAGATTGCAAATGTTAAACAATTTTTAAAATGCTGCCTATTTATCCTACTTAAGTGCCATTGATGCAGGGTAATTTACAAGTGTTGTTGATTATAATGAAACAGGTTCGGTATAGATGTAAAGCAAGAGAGATGATAGATAAAGTAAACCTTTACTCACCTTAGTACCGACTGTCCTTAGGAAGGTACAGTCAGGAAGGAAAGGATATTGAAGCAGCAAGCATAGCAACAGAATGGATGTCAGCAGTAGAAGAAAAGGAGGAGACCACTGTTAGTAGGTTAGTACAGAGGCATGGTTGGTTAATTTCACACTCGTGTTTTTTGAAGAGAAATGCATAAACCCCAGATCAATACTGCTATATCTTCAGCACAGTTCCCTGCTAAAGAAACTCAGTCAAATTTGACAATACTCTTAACTGTATAGTGCTGATGAAAGGTCATTGACCTGAAATATTAACTCTGCTTCTCTGCAAAAATACAGCCTGACTTGCTGACTTTCTCCAGCATTTTTTTGTTTTTATTCCCAATTTCCAGCATTTTGTTTTTGGTAAAAAAAAATAACTTTTCCTCCCTTGCTTTGATCATTTGAATGGCCTAATGACCCTCCTGAATACACAGGAAGCAGGGAATGCCTCCTTATCCAGGTCTCTACTCCTGCACAAGGATCCTGGTATTTAAGAGGCGTGCCCTGATGAAGGGGTGGTATGTCTGTGTCCAGATTAGCTGCCTGCTGGGCGATTCACATAGTGTGGAAGGAATCTAGTTCCTTGTTCACCTTATTTGCTTTTCAGCCATTTGATGGGGCATCCGTTTTGAGACATGTCGAAAAGTCAACAGCTTGAACCCAACACCCAGGCAACCTCCAATAAAAGATCCAGCTGGAGGCAGCAACTGGCCTGGGCTGAAAGACAAAAGGCCTTTTTGTTCTTCACAGGAGCCATGGGATCAGGAAGCAGTGCTGACATCTTTCTGGCTCCTGTGTTTGATTATCACCAAAACAAAAAAACAAAAATGACCACTTTGACAGGATTATTATCAGAACAATGACCTGAATATCCAGTCCAATTTCAAAGCTTCAAAAGATCCCTCTGACAAAAAAGGAGTCAACTTATACATAGATTATAAATATGGAGTGTCTGTGTTGGTGCAGAGGATTAATTTCTTTCATTGGGTGCCAAGGATGGTCCATTCTGTGTGGGTGTGCCTTACTTTCACATGCATCCAATTGGCAACACGCCCCACAACGCCTGGTACTGACATATCAAGTGGGTATAACCCTTACTTTATATGTCTGAGCTGAAAAATTGGGGCCAGTTCCTCATACATTATAGACCTAAACTTGCAGTTATTAACTGAAAAATGGGTAGTTGAGTTATATGCTTGAATATAGGCTGAAACATGCACCTTGGCAGCAAGAAATAAAGCTGTCTTGTACGACAGACGTATTTTTTCCTAAAAGGATAAAACAGAAAGTGGTGGAGTAACTCAGCAGGCCTGAAAGCATCTGTGGAAAGAGAAGCTGAATTAACATTTCGAGTCTGGTAAGACTTCTTCAGAACCCTGTCTGACATTTCATACAGCGTAGAAATTGGAGGTTGAAAGAGCTGGAAGCAATGTGTCAATTTGATGTTGAATAGTAGCAATAAGTTACATGACTCCCAATCTTGTTAATGAAAAATAATTGACTTTTTTCAGGTGGTGTTACTGCCAAAAAATATATTTACTGAACATATTTTCTTCATGGATTAATGTTTATTAATATGCATGGACCAAGTGGTCCCTCTCTAGAGTGTATAATATTGGCTTTGGCAAATCCAATTCTATTAGGGTTTTGTAGTTAATTGCTGTGATATTCCCTGCTATTTGTCGTTAGCTATTGCTTTACTACTCTTGCCAATAGTTCTTGGTCTTACCATGGAATTTTCTGTTTTGATGGTTTTTACTTGCAGGCAGTCATCCAGGCTCCCACTGGTGCTGTTTGCTTCGACTTTTTCCTCAGCCCCTCTATTCCCAGGCCCGATGGCGACATCATGGTCACTGGGTTCCTTGGGGGGTGGGGGTCTGGGATGAGTGTCATTGCGTTGCTTTTTTGTCACATGGGCATCTGGCCCATGGACAGTCTTCACGTGTTTCCGAAGGGAGCTGGGGTCTGTATACCTTTTGGTGCAACCAGGAATTTTGCAAACGTACGGTTTCTGTGAAGAGAGTAAGCAACGTCAGGTATAGCGAAGCAAATGATCTTCGAATAAATAACAAGTGTCGTCAATAAATCCGGTGGGGAATTCAGGAGAATCTGCCTTACTCAGAGAGTGGTGAGAATGTGGAATTTGCTTCCTATTGGAATGGTTCAGGTGAGTCACACAGATTCATTTAAGGGTAAGCTGGGTAATACGGGAGGGGACAATGAATAGAAGACGAGATAGTGAGAACTGCCGATGCTGGAGTC